AGAAATTGAACTTTGTATCAGTGTTGAGTGATAGCTTTTCTTTCTCAATTTTCCATTTCAGGAAGGCTTTGTGATACCTGATGAAGGGGGCCCACAGGAGGAACAAGAAGAGTATTAACAGCCTGGACTAGCACAACAACATCCGAATTCTTCACTCCAAATCATGTGCTTAACTGTAAAATACTCCCTTTTGTTATTCTTAGAGGACTCACTGGTTTCTTTTCATAAGCAAAAAGTACCTCTTCTTAAAGTGCACTTTGCAGAAGTTTCACTCCTTTTCCAATAAGTTTGAGTTAGGAGCTTTTACCTTTCTAGGAGAGCAGTATTAACATCTAGTTGGTTCACCTGGGGGAACAGAGAGGCTGCCATGGGGCTCACCGTGTGGATGCGGGTCACACTGATCGCTGGAGAAGGTGTTATGTAATACACTGAGGTGGTGACCTCAGTAGAGAAATGTAAAGACTGAATTGAATTTTAAGCTAATGTGAAATTTTGGCAGAGAACATTGTAATAAATAAATGCCTTAAGAGTATTTAAAATATGCTTCCATATTTCAAAGTATAAAATATAACAAGACAGGAGATTTTATGTGTTTGACATTGTATCTGGAAAGGAAGGGCCAGACCTCAGAACCTTTGGAAACTGCTGTCACGGGTCTTACAGGGCTGCTTGAATCCTCACAGGCCTAGGCTTTGGCCCAAAAGGAAAGTTTAAAAAGTTGCTCTGTAAAGCCATTTGGTGTCATTGACCAATTGCATCCCTGCTAAAAAAGCAAGAGGCATTGTTGCCCGGATGAATAGAGGGTGTTTCAGCCCTGAGATTTTGTGAGTTGAAGAGCTCGATTTTCATTGAGCATTTCTCTAACAACTTTTCCGATTATCCCTGAGATTTCTATGTATTATGCTTTTTGGGAATTGAGGTGTGTCCAGTTTTTTAATCTAACAACTACTTTTGGGGACTTGCCCACATCTCTGGGATTTGAATGGGGATTGTGTCCCATTTTACTGTCTTAGGTTTACATTTAACATGTTTCTCTTCTCTGTTCCCCTTGCCCACTGGGGACTCCTCTTTGGCTCCTTAAAGTTTGCTGCTTAGAGTTGAAAGTGCAGCAGGCAGGTGATCATGCTGCAAGTTTTTTCTGGACCTCTGGCAAAGGAAGTGATCAGTGAAGGCCATTGTTATTTGGGATCTGCAAGGCTGGGGTGTTTTTGGTATCTGCTGCCCATAGCTCTCCACTGTTAGCCGAATACTTTGCCAGTGCACTAATCTCTTTGGAGATAAAATTCATTAGTGTGTTACTAAATGTTAATTTTCTTTTGCAGAAAATACAGTACCATGTCTGAATTAATTATTAATATTTAAAATATTTCCTTCCTTAACTCTCCCTCATTTTCTTTGCCCACAGCCTATTCAATCCCTTTGTTTGGCAGAGTTCTGCAAAATGTGTGTCACCCACTACTGAGATTGTTCAGCCCCTGATGTATTTGTATTGATTTGTTTCTGGTGGTAGCTTGTCCTAAAATGTGTGTAGAAAGCAAGTATTTTATGATAAAATTGTGTAGTGCATGCTCTGTGTGGAATTGAGAGGAAAACCCAGATTCATTGATTAACAATGCCAAAAAATGCAAGTAACTAGCCATTGTTCAAATGACAGTGGTGCTATTTCTCTTTTGTGGCCTTTTAGACTTTTGTTGCCCTAAAATTCCATTTTATTGGGAACCCATTTTCCACCTGGTCTTTCTTGACAGGGTTTTTTTCTACTTTAAACAATTTCTAAATAAAATTCTGCATTTCAAGAGTGTCATGTCTTCTGAAATTTGTCTTGCCCTGGATATATGCTTTTAGATTCAAGTGCTAAGGTAACAGTGCTTCTTTCTTAAATTAGGACTGATCTTTTCAAATCCTTCACTGTTTTTTCAGATGTGCTGATTTCTAGGCCTGCTTCCTTTTTTCTTCTTTCACATTATATTTCTCAGCCTCCTGCTGTTTTAAATTCTCATATTGCTATGAGAGGTTTTTCCTGTCATAGCAGTATGGCCTAGCTGCTGTGAAGCCTTTTCAGGCCATTTCTTCCTGAGAAATGTAGCAGAACAGTGCTTGGCAGATGACCGTGGGAGATATTTTGTTTTTCCTGACAGTGTGTTTCAAAGGCAGTTAACATAATCTCAACCTATAAAATAATTTAAAATTGTTACCATTTTTTCCTTCCTTGTAAAATTCTATGCCTTTAGAAATGAGTTCAGGCCGGGCGCGGTGGCTCACGCCTGTAATCCTAGCTCTCTGGGAGGGAGGCCGAGG